ACTTCCTATATGGTAAGTCATTTTTATACTGATATAGATAGTGAATTGGTGGGTTTTTGTTAAATGTGAGCCAAAATCATCACAATTAAAAGAACCAAAGACTTAAACTACTTCAGTCTGTGTGCATTGAATTTATTTAATACACGAGTTTCACAATTTGAGTTGAATTACTGAAATAAACTAACTTTTCCACGACATTCTAATTTATTGAGATGCACCTGTAGTGCTGCTTTAACCTGTCACGACAGCTCATAGTCTAAGGGACTCGAGTCCAGTCATAACTCAACTTGCGCTTTGCACATCAGTACGCATCATGCAATTTCAGCTGCCTGTCCCGGTAACAGCCATTAAGCAATTAAGCTGTTATTTCTGGTTTGAGAGGTTCAACTAAGGACAGTTTTTGAGATGTTTTGTTTCGCTTTCCCTTTAGCTCAGAGATCCAGGCTCTGTAAATATAAATATTGTTGTGCATCCTGTATTCTTTGAGGTCTTCATGGTCTGTTGGCTTGAGGTACTTTTTTCTCCACTGGCAGTGTAGCAGTAACTACTGCAAGGCTTAAAAAGAAGATGTCTTGTTAAATTTCAAAGGATTTTCTACACACACACAAAAAAAACATGTTTTGGCTGTATATAAAATATTCACGGCTAAACACCATACAGTACCTTTCTATCATGTTGTTGTTATTCTGTAGCTCCCGTGCCACAGCCTCCATCTCATCCTTTAATCTATTCATTCTGGAAACAATTTTTATTTCATTTATTAGTTGGAATTAATAAATACTGTGTCATGTTCATTGCAATGACATACTTGAGAATCATGTGCTCATCCTTTATCTTTCCATCCAGCCCCTCAGCTTCTACTGGCTGTTGGAGAGCTCTGAGCACAGCTCTGTCCAGAACCTTCAAAGACAGAAAAGAACGTGGGCAGGTTGCTCTATATCCAAGTTTATAAAAGTCTGACTTCAGAATAGTATGACTGGTTAAAGCAGAAAAATATGTGAATTATGGGCAGGAATTAAGGAGAGGATCATACCTGACACTACTAATGCAGCCATGATTAGACTCTGTTTATTGATTTATTGATTAATTCTCATTTAAAATGGAAAGTGATGCCAGTACTACTTGAAATGAAACTTTTACTCAGAAAGAAACTCAGAAAAAAAAATCATTACCTATAAATCATAATGAAATTTAGCAGTAGTTAAGGTCAAAACTAAGATCACAATAAACAAACCGCTTTGAAAAAATAAAATTCTGCCCTCACAGACATTATTTCCAGATGGGAATGGGCCCAGTTAGTAAAAAAAAACTAATTTATTGTGCAAACTTTACAGAGATTATGTGAGGAAAAATATAGACATGTTCACTGTCTGTAAAACACAAAATTTATCTAACCTCCTCAGGGACAGCTAGTCATGCCTACATAGGACTAAAGACAGACTGTGTGGGTCTTTTGTGGGAAACAGAGGGCTGACCTTGTTCTGCTGGGCCTCACATACATGCAGATCCCCCATCCTCTGCCGCAGGACAATTCCAAAATGCTCTAGACTTGTCTGCATCTCATAAAGAACCCTGCAGAAACAACTCACATGGTCATCTGCATATGCTGCCCTACGACTACTTTTTTGCTGCTTTATCCATATGACCTCTGTCATACCTGTTCCAGCTGCCAGCAGACATCAGAACATCCTGGTATTTCTGCAAACAGTCATCCTTGAATAAACTCTTGACCTTCTTTATGTATGAGGACAGATTGAGCCTGGGCAGAAAATAGCCGTTTCTCAGTTTAATTACCGTGAGAGCGGACCCTCATTCAAGATGCTCCTGGTGTTTAATACTTACTTCTCAAACTTGTGAATCTGTTCGTCATTGTAGCTGAGCTCTGGGACAGAAAGTGAATAAATTAGTAGCAGTGAGAGAAATATTTCAAACCCTCAACCCAACACCGTAGTTCTTTTTTCTGTGTGACTGCTCAAGATAAGCTCTATTTTAGCTGACTGGCTCCTCTGCAGAGTCATATCTAACATTATCACTGCAGCCAGGCAGAAATGGGGCTTATATTCTTCTGTCTCCATGCTTGCCTGTCTGGAATGGTCCTCGCTGTCAGATAAGGCAGCACAACAGTGCCTCCCTTCCCTGTAGCGCAGTACTGAGAACTAATCTGACTAATCTCAGCACTGGCTCCACTCATCAAACTCCAAGTCCAGCTCCTGAAGTGCCAGTGACAGAAATGGGTCGCTGTTTAATGTGCAGTAAATTCTCACAGTTTGGTGAATTTTTGCTTAGCGTCCAGTTATAAGACTGGTTGAGAACAACATTTATCATGGGTTTAAAGTAATCTGCATAATCTGCAGAAGTTCAGAAAGAGTCTTTTGATAGGTGTCGTACTGTAGATTCGTCTGCAATTTGTGTTGTGTTATATTAATATGAGAGATTAAAAAACATGCATCCACTTACTTCCTATCATTCTGTCTTTGCAATACTGCTGATGTACTGCAACAATCTTCCCCAACAAAACCTCCATCTTCTGGATGCTGCATTAAGAGGAAGGAAAAAATTAATTAAAATAATATTTATTAAAATGTAACAAATACATTTTAAATATAATTTATATTAATTTTGTCATAACCTTCCATAATAATATGCTAAATGTATAGAACTTAATGAACCATTTAAGTAAATTAAACAATTTATTATGTAAATTCTTTCAAGTATTATGTATTATTTTTATTTATACAACTTTACAGTAAATAATGCACAAATCTGTACATAAATCTTCTGTTCCAGATTTTACCACATTATTATTATACATTGGAAATAATGTATAATTAGAGAATAATGTCTTTTTTGTGTTCATGCTTGTATTTTTATGTTATACATGTGATGTCTATTATTGAATTTAATTTACAAAACAAGTTAAATCAACATTTAGACAAATGCTGTGTTGAAATTTTTTACCATGTCATGGTACTGCATGATAAAATGCTATCTATCAATCAGTCTGTCTGTCTGTCTGTCTATCTATCTATCCATCCATAGAGAGAGGGAGAGAGAAAGAGTTTTCAAGTTTAGTTTCAAAGTTTTTCAATCAAAACAAAATAAGAGAATAAAGGAAAATCTCTTGGTACCAAGGTAATGATTCAATATTGTGATGAATACATTTGAAAATACTAAACTATATCACTTTCCCCCAACTTATCCTAACAGGCTGTGTTACCTCTTATCCTGGGCCAGTGTCTCGGAGTGTTTAGACAGCATCACATGCAAATGCTGTAGTTGATTCTGGAACTCTCTGACTCCACTGCCATACATCCGCTGCAAATCCTCTTCAATCTACACACAATAACAAACCACAAGGATGCAAACTATTGTGTGTTCGAGTTCATTTATTCAATATACATATCACAAAGCACAACTCTTACCAGTGGGAGTTTCTTCTTATTGTCTACAAAGTCTGGAATCTCATGTGCAAACCTCTGAGCACTGGTTGGGAAGAACCAAGAGACATTCATCACTAAATACTTTACTACATATAATGCTTATTAAACTAGAGTAAGCATTAGATTCATGATATCATATAGTAAACTAAAACACAGATTCAGTCTGTATCTCACTGGTGGATTCTTACAATCGATGGAGATGCTCCTCTGTGCTGATAGAAGAAAGCAGCTTCATATTCACCATGGCAATCCTGTGTGCCACATTACTGCATTCAAAACCTGTGTTTTCACTGAAAAGTCAAGAATATTGTTATTGGACACACTAAAATGTCAAGATCAGGTTCTGTTTTCTTGTGGCAATAATTACCAGGTAACCGACTCATGCAGAATCGTGATTATATAAGCGCTCACATGTAGCTATAGAACCCCTGCAGAATCAGTTCCCTGTACTTTTGGAGTGAGCGGGCTATCCGCAGGTACTGATGGATGACGCCGACAATGGTCTTTAGGAGGGACAAAATCAACAGGACACAGTGAGAGGCTTAGGGATAATTGTGTTATAATGTTCAGCAAAAATAAGAACCAGGGATAAAAACAAAGGGGCTTGCTTACCTTGGAAAAAGTGTAATCTGCCATGACGTCAAACTTTGTGGGCATCGCGGGGGCCTCAGCTACAGAAAAAATGAAAATAGAAGGGATGGCGGAAGAATAAATAAAGAAATGAGACAATGTTACCTCGATTTATTTATTTGTGAAATTACACATTACACATTAAATTACACTGAAAAACTTAAGACACACTCAAACAGCTATTTTATAAACAAAGGGTTGAACATAAAATTGGCACTGTGGCACCAGGCAGAAAAACAAAAACACATTTATTGTGTCCTTACGTTCTCTGTATGAATAGCCTACTAGCTTCTCTGGTCGTCGGCTGATGAGAATGATAGGGCGGTCTGGAGTGGTGGGGGGAAGGTTCACTACTTTCATGCTTGGCTCCAATATGAGAGGATGACCCTGAAACAGGTAGTGTTGAGCTGCTGGTTCAATTCCAGTTTGGGCCTGAACATCCTCAAAAAAGATTGAGAGCCTTGAGGAGAACAACAACAAAAACATTTTGGAACCATTGTGAGAAGTCTCAGCCTTATTCATACTTATATATAATTGTAGGTAATCATTTTAAATGGATTTTAAATTATGATCATTTGGGGACCTACAACCAAAATGGCATCTGTATTTACAAAAAGAAACAGAATTTCCTATACAGTAAACTAAAAAATACGTTGGACCTAGGGCTGGGCGATATAGCTAAAAAATGTATCAACGATATAATGTTTCACATCATTCGGTATCGATAATTATTGACATTTTTTATAACTTTTTAATAATTTTAAAACAAAAAGCAATAGAATTTTTTTCTTTTTATTTAACCACTGTATTTATAATTAACACAATTTATTGAGACAAACAACAAATATGTTTTGTTTTAACAATCAAACACAATAAAAATTAAACAAATAT